TCATAATGGTCCTTTATTCTCAGAATGTTAAGTTTTTGGGTTTCTCAGTCTTCATCTGGTTATAAACTACTCAACATAAAATACACAAATACATATACTAAAAATTCAAAATTGTCCTGTTCCTATAAATTAGTCAAATTTCAACAATACTTCAAGGACCAGCTTTAACCTCATAGTGATACTTCCTACCCCACCTCCTTTCCCCCCCAAAATACAAAATTAAAAATAAAAAAAATAAATAAATAAAAGGGCCAGCTTTAAATAAACATAACAAAACAAAAGCTCACCATGCTTTATAGACTAAAACATGACATGATAAAAATATTTAAAGTTCTAAAATTTTCAACTAGTATTTTAAGGTACTTTAAATACTTTTAATGAATTAAAACTATAGTATTATAACTTTGTTTTCTGTTGTAAATGACTATTATGTATGATAAAATGTATTCTTCATGTTTTATATATCATCCTTAAATAACAGAATTCTCTGAAATTAAAGCTGTGATGTAATATAAAAAATGTTAACTATATATTGAGACAATTTCAAAATAACCTACAAGTAATTGTGTAGAGGGTATGTCACACCATCAATACAGAACCTACAGCTCTTTGAATATTTTTCTATTTTTACATGAAAGTGAACAATTAAAGGCCAACTCAAACACAAAACAAATTAATATATCAAATTATTTTCTCACTCATCCAAAAGTCAATATGCTTCTTATACTAAATACTTGAAGTGGAATAAATGTAGGGAAGTAAATGTACTATAATCCATGTAGAGTAGGAGACATAAATCCTTAATTTCCCCTCTCATGACAAAGTCCAAATCAACTTTGCATTAAGAGAAGAAAACTGAAAAATTTTCCCTCCTTTTCCATAGTCATTCCCTGCACTCCTTGGCCTAGTACCTAAACCAGGAAGAGGTCATAAAACAAATGGCAAGATTTTAAGTTTGAAAAACAAAGTGCTCTTTGGCATATTAATCCATTCAACAAACATTTCCTAAGCACTTTCTATTTGAATTCACGTATCATCTCACTCAGTTCTAATAGCCCTGCAAAGCTCTTATGAGTATTATTCTAACAGTATTAGACATGACAATTCTTAAATAGTTGGCCAAGTTCACTTGGCCACTTAAATAGAGCAGACAGGGCATAAACTCATTTTTTGACCTTCAACTACTTGAGTCTTCCAACTTCTATAATCAACAGGTGATCTGGATTCAATTGCCAGTTCTACCCTCACTGCTATAGGACCTCGGCAAATCATTTAACCTGTCTGCTTCAGTGTCTTCACCTAGGAAATGGTGATAACAGGAGTATGTCACCAGATTGCTGAGAATTAAATGCTAAAAAGTATATGAAAAATAGCTAAGTTATTAATGTAGTTTCCTGCCTTGCCCTGTGTAAGGATAAATGAAATGTTTTTTAAGTTGATTATTTTTAGCAACTAAACTGTTCTCTGCTGCATGTTAGAAAATTTAGAAAATTTTTGTAATCTGTTTAAGTTTAGGTGGCATCTGAAAATCTAACAGCTTCTTGATACAGATCTAACTCTCAATAACCAAAAAATAAATTAAGTATTTGCAAAACCTAACTCATTAAATTTTTTCACTTTGGGTAAGCAATATATTAAAATGGTTCAAGTTTCAAAAGATACCAAAGGGTAGTTAGTAGAAAGGTTTCTTACCTTTCCTCCTACATTCTCATATCACCCCTCTAAAAACAACCAATGCTTTATTAGTTTCTATGTATCCTCCCAAAAATATACAGATAAATCTCTTCTCTCCTGCCAACTCATTACATAAATTTAATATCAGACACATTTCTTCACTTTGCTTTTTTCAACTTAACAGCATAAAGAGTTTTTTTTTTAAGAGATCGTATAGTATTCCACATTGTGGCTTAAATTTAACTTAATTCTTGTTAAAGACTAGGCTATTTTTAAAGTTGTAATGAGTAATATTATACATTCAGTATATTGTATACAAATATATCTACTGAATGAAATCCCAGAGGTGGGGTTGCTGGTTCAAAAATGAGTATTTGTAATTTTATGATATTAATAAATTTCCCTTTATTGAGTTGGAACCACTTTACATTCCTACTGGCACTTCCCCAAACTTCAATATTTAGTATCAATTTATGGATTTTTATCAGTCTGTTAGCTGGAAAGTGATTTTACCTCTCCTATGATTTTTTTTATCATCCTATGAAAATAAGATGACAGATTTATTCCACAAATCTCAGAAGATTCAAAAGGTAAATTTTGTAATGACTTTTTTTAACCCAACAGGAAATAGATGTTACCACAAGCATAGCTTAGGGTAAAAGAAGAAATAGGGTCAAATTCAGAAAGTATATATATACTAAATTCATGGCAAGTTACCATGACAAAATCTAGCTTCTCTTTTGTTTGATGACTTTTACTTTTAAAAATATTGGAAATTTGGGCCCTCCCTGGTGGTGCAGCGAGTTAAAGCACAGCACTAAGAAGCTAAAGCCACTTCCAGATGAGTTCGATTCCCGCCTGCCCTGGAGGTGACCACATGGCGCAGCAGACATCTCCTGACCCGCCCGCTGCTCCCCTCAGCAGTGTACTTCTTTGATCTGCCTGTTCTGCTCCCCACTCTGTCTCTGGTGAATCCTCTCACCCTCCGCATTTCTGGCCTGTACCCCAGTTCTGTATGAATAAATAAATAAGTCTTAAAAAAAAATTGAAAATTTATATATATAAACTCCAAATATTTTTAATATTCAAATTTGTTCTAATTTGATTGCTATTTTAGGGAACAAGAAGTGCAATATAGTTTAGAAACTTCAGTGATGGCTGCACATATTTATGGATACACTAAAAACCACTGTATATATACTTTAAATAGGTGAAGTGTATGGTATTGGATATATATGTTAATACTGCTTTAAAAACTAGTCTTCCAACTACTTTAGTTCTTCTCCGGTGTATGAGACACAGCTACCATATCTGGTCTTAAATTTCTCTCAGGTTCCAGTCATCCCACCTTTAATTTATGGCAACTTAAAAGAGGCATATCTCCTTCCAAAAGCAAAGTTCAGGGCTTTTACAAGGGTAAGTATCATTTTCACTGTATTCATGTATTTTTTTAACCATTTAACCATATGTAAAATGGCCTTACCAATTTTATTAAATTCCAGTCTTTATGTTTCTGTGAAGTTTTTGAGTATTAAACTCTGTTTCTTGGGTTTTTCCCTTCCAATTTCAGAGCACAGGGATTTCTAGGAATGCATACTCCAAACTATGGCAGAACTAGCTATAGAATCAGGTGGCAACATTTCCCCGAATGCATAATGTCATTATACGAAACGGAATTCAAATAGATAAAACACTGATCTCAACCAAGGTTTCAGCTGGTTTTCACTATTTAAAAATTTCAAAGTACTAAAAGAAAAAGTTTTAAAAACCTTGTAAGTACTAGAAGATAGTTCTGAAGAAAGAGACATAGAACTCATTTTACTTTTTTTAATTTATTTTTACATCATTCTTCATTTTGTGCATTTTTTCATCTTGGTTGTAATCCCCATGGACATCCCACCACCAATTTAAGAACTCATTTTAAGAACAATTAAAGTCAGTAATTTATGGAGCCCCACATGCGTCTTCTGCTCCATCTGGGCTGTTTCCCTTCCAATTTCACAAAAATGCTATGTGCTTTTTTATGGTTTCTATACACTCACTCGTTCCCCTAATATGGAGTGTCTTCCCTTTGCCCTCAATCTCACCAAATCTCATACTCATGATCAAAGACTTTCACAAACCTCCAGCTGATTTACATTCACATGGTGTTGCTCATTCATTCTTGCCCGTTGCAGGGGCAAACTCTTCAGGGGGAGAACGGCAGCTAATGCTCAGAACCCACACAAGACTTGCACCACACACAGAGTATGTACTCACAAGAAACTTTTGTTGTTGGGTAATAAATAGGACAAAGGGGGGGGTGGGGGGGAAGTGCACGGGACTATGGTGATGGCACACGGGTGACTTGGTGATGGGAAGCTCGCGGGGATTACAATTGAGATGAAAAAAAAAGTACAAAATGATGTAAAAATAAACTGTCATAAAATAAATAAATGAATAAATAGGACAAAAATCATAGAACCAAATAACCTAGGTTTTTTGGTTACAATTTACTTATAAGAACTGTTTCAATGCATTTCAAGACAATAAAAATTTAACTTAGCTATGCTGAAAAATTATATGGCTGCTAAGGAAATAAAATCCTGTAAAATTTGTCTTTATGTCTTACCACAAAAGAGGCTACACAAGAAATTATGATTGTTATACTAAACATTTTCAGGTTGTAGACCCCGATCCTACATTATAAGGTGTTATGGAAGCAATTTTACCTGCAGCAATTTTATCACAGTGACAAATTATCCTTGAGGATGGTTTTCAAAGCTCTCTTTTGGTAGTAAAACTTTTTTTCAAAGCAAAAGACCAAGTGGAATACTTTCTAACCACCCAGATAAAAAGCAGAGCTGGGCCCTCCCTGGTGGCGCAGCAAGTTAAAGCACAGCGCTAAGAAGCTAAGGCCACTTCAGCATGAATTTGATCCCTGCCCCAGAGGTGACCACATGGCGCTGCCACAGACCAATCCTAACCCGCCTGCTGCTCCCCTCAGCAGTGTACTCTTGTCAGTCAGCCTGTTCTGCTCCCCACTCTTTCTGGTGAATCCTCTCACTGCACCTGCACCTCTGGCCGGTACCACAGTTCTGTATGCATAAATAAATACATAAATCTTTAAAAAAAAAGACAGCTGATCTTGCCAAAATGGAGGGAGAGGCCTATAGTTCTGCCTACTTGGGTTCCCCTTCCCTGTCGCAGGCTCCTCAACTGAAATTGGGGCTTATGGCTTTCTGAGAAACACATATTGCTGAGAAACACTCATGGAATAATGAACAAGCTCCTGTGCATATTCTATTCCATTCTTTAAATCACTAAAATACAAAATTAAAACTTACCCATTTCTACTGAAAACTCTTAGCCATGCCTTGATATTTGGTCCCAACAAACACAAACAAGGTACAGTAGTAAAAGTAGACAGAACAACTGCAAATAAAAATGTTTCCAAAACCAACCTAGGGAAAAAAAACTTTATTAATTTTTTTAAAAGCAAATGTATACAAAATCTTTGTTACTTAATGTACAAATATTTTTTATACTTTACTTTGAAAGTAACCAAATCATTACTATAAATTTACTACTGAAATGCAAACTATGAAAAGCAGTATAGCAAATATTAGAAAGTTTTAATGATACACATCACAAGTGTTAAAAACCTTGACCAAGTCTAGAAAATTAACTTTTTTCCTCAACAGTAGAATTTTACCTACAACCATTGGCTCAACTTCAGAACTACTTTAAAAGTCGAAGAAACTAAAAGTTTGGGAGAGGGGTTCCTTCCCTAGAGTTTTTGACTCAGATCTGAGAATTTGCATTTTTTCTTTTTACATCATTCTTCATTTTGTGCATTTTTTCATCTCGGCTGTAATCCCCATAGACTTTCCACCACCAATTCACCCTTGTGCCATCACCATAGTCCCGGTTTTAATTCTATTTCCCTCTCTGCCCCCATAAAATGTCTCTGGTTAATAGTTGTTTTTTGTTTTTACTTTATTACAATTGCTTTTATTTCTCTTGATCCCTTATGCTTCTGCTATGAGTGAAACCATCTGGTAATTTCCCTTTTCTTTCTGGCTTATTTCACTAAACATTATCCCTTCCAGCTCTATCCATGTTGCTGCAAAAGGCATGAGCTTCTTTTTTGATTGCTAAGTAATATTCCATCATGTATATGTACATCTTTTTAATCCAGTCATCTATTTTTGGTCTTTTGGATTGATTCCACATCTTCCCTATATGTAAATAGAGCAGCAATTAACATGGAAGTACAGAATTTGCATTTTAATAAAATGCTAATGCTGCTGGTGGTAGAACTGCTGCCCCATTTATTCATTCTACTTAGTCTTACCCTCCCTCTCTCCAGAAAAGGGTAACCTATTAGTTTAGAGTGTGTGTGTGTGTGTATATAAATATATGTATGTCTATATATATGTACATATATAGGTATAAATATGTAGTTTAAACTATATACAGGTGTGTATGTTATATATACATATAAAATCCTTATTTTACCAAGATTATTAATCACTGCTAAACTTAATTTCCCAAACTATAATGAACATTTTATAAGAAATAGTCAAGGGTTAAATTTCGACTCATTTAAAATTAGTCAGTTTTGAAAGTATTGTGTTAAAAAGTAATGTTAAACTATAAATATTAGCTATTAAATTATTAAGTATAGGACTCTATTCACATTTCTCATAACACACTTTTTGCAAGCCCTTCAGAATATACTGAAATATCCTAATTATAACTAAAATTAGCATAAGAAATGATATGCTAGGTATAAATATATATATATACTTAAATACATATGTGTGTGTGTATATCATAGTTTCCACCGAAGTTCTAAGGGCCACATATTTATTGTTATAGTTTAGTTTCTCAACTACCTCCTCTCTCCCTCCCATGTGCAATTTGGTAAGAAATTTAGGCTATACAAGTATTAATGTGGTAAGTTTTCTAAGAGTAACAATGCTAAGGAAAGGCAATGATGTTAGTATCTTTCCATGATCTATTAATTAAATACAGATTGGTTTTTCTCTAGAATTAGAACTTCACTTAGAAAATAAGTATTTTAAACTAATCACCAATAGAATTAGAACTTCACTTAGAAAATAAGTATTTTAAAATATAATTGCTTTAAGGTAAACATTTCAGACTTACTCTATCAGCGGTGCTCCATATAGAACAAATATTATATGAAAGGTAAAACAAGACAAAAGAAAGTAGACACAGCACTTCAAAAACCTGGTTACCTAAAAAGAAATGAATAATTTAAAGACTCAAGAGAACATCTAAAGAGCAGCAAATACTTCGATTTTATCTACAAATACAACTAATTTCCATCATGTGTGATGCAGTTGAACTGTTCTTTGGATTTTGATATCCTGAGGTCAGATCACATGTCCTCTGCAGTCAGATGCACAGCCCTCAATACAGCCCTGTAACAGAAGTCTGGAAGGCAAGTATCAGGCCCAATTCCATGCACAGAGTCAGAAAGTAGTTCTGTTTCTATTGAGTGTATGATCATGTTTTGTATCACCATGGTAGATAAAGGCATGTAGCAATAGTATCTTTGAAAATTATAAGACATTTCAGTTTGTTTCATTTATTTTTTGCACTTGTAAGAGAGACTTTATGGATTTTTTTTTTCCAGAAATTCAAAGCAAGTCTCTCGTAGTTCTTATTAAAATGTGACTTTCTGCGACTAGCTAGAATTAAAGTTTTCAGATATTTGAATCTATTTTCTGGAATATTCATTATAGTGTGTCCTATGTCATTGATCAGTATTTTGACACATTTACCAATGATAGTGCTAAGAGGCAGAAATAGTCCTTATCATGTGATGATACATGAATTTTTTTTACAGAAAACAATGAGTACAATGCAGCACAGGAGAAGGTAGAATACTAAATAATTCTTAAAATCACATTCATGTTACATGATCCACATGAAAAAAGCCTACATATAAATACACCATTATGGAACCTACCTGATTTTAAGCCATCCAAATTAAGACCTAATTATAAAAACACATTGAGTCTTTTAATCATAGGGTAGTGGATGGATCATGTTCTAAATTACCTAGTAGAGAACTCACACACAATACTTTAAAGTGTTAAGCGAGGGTTTACTGATTTAAAATATCAAGTGCAACACACTATAATGAATATTCCAGAAAATAGATTCAAATATCTGAAACTTTAATTCTGGTTAGTCTCAGAAAGTCAAATTTTAATAAGAACTACCAGAGACTTGCTTTGAATTTCTGAAAAAAAAGTCCATAAAGTCTCTCTTAAATGCAAAAAACACATGAAACAAACTGAAATGTCTTATAATTTTTAAAGATACTATTGCTACATGTCTTTATCTACCATAGTGATACAAAACATGATTATACAGAGCAACAAAGCTCTATCCACTGAAGATGCCCTAATTCCACAATGCAAGACAAGGATATATGTAACATTGTGGGCAGAGTTCCAGCAAGAAAGAGCCTCCTGATTTGAAAAAATAAAAATTGGATTCTTTTTACTGACTGTAAATAAATCAAAGATTACTTGACTAATACTTCATTTTTCTATTAAGAGAAATACTGCCTTCATCGTAAAATCAGTTATCAAGAAATAAGCCTTACCTTGTATGATAGTGAACTTCTTTTAGAGGATGCATTTGGTTTCACTACTAAATATAAAACTAGATTGACGGCAGTTACAAAAATAGAACAGATGCACAACCATGTCAAGTGTGTTTCCAATATTGAGAAGTTCTCCAAGAAGAATGATGGAATGAAGATGCTTAGGATAATTGAAAAGATGCATAAAAGATGGGTATACAGTAGTCTCTTGATATCAGTATCTTTCATGATGTTTTCTTGAGTGGCTATCTAATGGAAAAGAAGAACATATGCAATAATGACTTTTTCCATTGTGCTAATTGCTCCAGTGTCTAAGCCATGAACCAAAGTCAATTTTCTATGGACAACAGCAAATTGGCTTCAGAATATAGGAAGATGCATATTTGTAAATGTACATGTAGACTAATAAGATACAAAAAAGCTTTGAGTCTTAAAAGAACAAAGCTACTAATTTCTTAAACATTTTGACTAATTTCTGCAAAAGGGTCATGTGCTAGTACCAAGTAAGTGATTTTCCTTTTTTGCCACAATCACAAAGGTAAAAACATAATGTGCTTGTTGGAAACATAGCTTTTGCATTCTAATTAAATTGTAGTTATTTTTAACAGTGTGTGGCTAAATAAATCATATCTCCTAGCAAATACCAAGTGATGACAAGACACACTGTACTATTTATATGGCAACAGCTACAATCAAGGAAGTTCAAGGAGCATTATGCTAAACTAAAGGGTTCCAGTATCCCAGAAATACTAAAATGGCAATGTTTGTTACAGGTGCTAGATTCCAATCAAAAGTTGAGCATGAACAGGAGAAAAAAAAATTTACTTTCTCTTTAAAATACTCATACGTATTTACACACACACACATATAACTACCTTGTATTATGATTATATATATATTGCAATGACTAATATTAAGAACCTTATTATTTTAAAGTAATTTGCCACATTAGTGTGGTGGCTAATCCAGAAAAAATATTTTATATCCATGTTCAAAGAAGACATCTACTAATGTAAAAGGATGATTCCGGGCCTTATCCTAATAGTTCTCATTTAAGCACACTAATTTTAAAAGGTAAATATTTTACTGATAAGGAAAGGGTTAGGGCAAGTCCAAGGTCTCTCAAACTGCCAACTGCTAAATAAACCACTTTTAACTCTAACCTCCAGGATATAAAAGTATGCGGTTGGGGTTGAGAAGAGAATGAATGGCAGGAAGGGAGAAATTAAACGTTGTTCCACTGGGTCTATCCTCAGGGGACTGAGGATATCCCCACTCCTCAGAGGAGCGAATTCATTCTCAACAGACATCTCTTCCTACTCTCGGAATCCCAAATGACGTAAGCAGATTTGGAACCGATACAGGGAGCAGCACCCAAATGTTGGCTGAACAAATGAATGAAAGAAAGAAGGTCGGATGTTTGTCCTTACTGAGAAACAGGCAGTTAGGCCCAGGCGTGCCCACGAGGGCTCCCGTCAGGCTCCCCTGACTCCGCCAAAGCTCAGGTGTCCCTCGTCGGACCTGGCCCAGGGCCACCGGCAGTGCAGTGAGCAGGAAGGCGGCGAGGCGCCAGGGAGGGGGGGTGGGGGTGAGGGGGACTGTAGGACTATCATCTGCAACCCCACCCCAAAATGGGTTGCTCGCGATTTGCTCAAGCCTCAGCCTGCGGGGACGGGAGCAGCGAGCGACGAGCTGAGAGGTATCACTGAGGCTCACAGGTGCGGAGGCCAGGACAGAGGGGAGGGCAGACGCAGAAAGTCCGAGCCGAGAGAGGCTCTGTCCCGCAGCGCAGCCCGTGGGTCACGCCGGAAGGTAGGCGCTCGAGCGGCTGGGGGGCGCGGGTGGGCCGGGGTCACAGAGCCTCGCGGCCTCGGGTAGCTGCACCCTTCGGAGGGAGCGCACTGGGGGCTCCCACTGGCTTACCTAACTGTCCCGCCCGCAGACCACAAGGGAGGGTGACTGCCTCCCACCATCAGGTGTGTCTCGCCGCCCAGATCCTCGCGCAGGCGCTGGCCGGGGGGAGGAGCCTCAAGGCCCTGCAGCCAATCGGAGAAGTGGGGGGCGGGCAAAAGAAGCAGCCCCGCCTTCCCCGTGGCATTTATTCCTCCCGCCGCTTTCCAGGTGTAGGGTAGGCGGGGCGGAGGGCGGGAGGCAGGAAGTGGATTGTCGTCACCCGGAAGAGGAGTCCTTCCCTGGCGGTAGTGTTGATGTTTTTTTTTAGCTGCTGCTGCTTCTGCGGCTAAGGGAAACGTCGGGGAAGGATGGTGTGCGAAAAGTGTGAGTTAAGGGGCCGGTTCTGCGGGATAAGGACACTAGGGAAGCCTAGTTAGAGTTCTCTGGGAACTTTGTTCTTTTTATTTCCTTCGGCGCAGGTTTTATCCCTTGCCCTCTTACCCTCCCCTTTGACCATCTCCACCCTCCCACAGTGATCACATAGTCTTTTTGTTTTGCTTTCTGCGTAATCTTAGTTTTTGCGCCTCTTTATTTACTTTGCCTTCACCCAACCCCGGATCTCATCCCATAGAGCTTCTTCCCTGACTTCCTCTCCTCACAGACCTTTAGGGTTGGAATGGATCATAAAAGTCACTTCCACAGTTCACAATACCTAGAGTTGCCACATACACCAAATAGAAACACCAGAAGCCCAGTTAGTTGTCAGTTTCAGGTAAACGAATATTTTCTAAATGTAAACATGTCCCGTGCATTATTTGAGATGTGGCTCTGTTTGCTGCCTCTTACTGCCGTAAATGGTTTATCCCAAATACTTTAGGGCATTTACTAAAAATTATTCATCGTTTATCTGAAACTTAAATTTAATTGAGCAGCTTGTATTTTATCCAAAGCCTTAAGTCAGTTTCCCCTCCAGTAACTTAGAGTATGCCTGAATAGCTACAGTATTATGACAGAAGGGTGGGAGAGACGGGCCACCTTGGAAGGGGTCTGTGCAGACAATAGCGACTTTTGGAAAAGCCTTTGCCTCCTATAGTTGCAACCATTCTAACAGAAACCCTTGAGATTTCTAGAAAATATCTTAGGATTTGTTTAACCTTATTTGGATTTGTTTATATGTTTAAAAATAGGAGTCATATCCCCAAGTCTTTTTTTTCTCAGTCTAGACAAGTTGCAATGCCTCGTATCCTTGATCACTGTCTAATAATTCATTTTGTTTTATCCTTGTACCAGAGAAAACTAAGTAATGATGCCAAGAATTACAGTGTGTAATAGAACTACCATAGGTGAGTCGGAGGCGAGCGCACTGTGCGCTCCCACTGGCCTAATATTTCTAGGTCCAGTTTTCTCATTTATAAAATGAGAATAATACACAATTTGTGAGAATTAAATGAGATACAGTAGATAAAGTCTGGTGTAAAAGTGCCTTGGTGTATCTCATAAATGGGTAATATGTCTCATAGCCCCCTAGTATGTGGTCCTCAACATTAAACTCTACTTCATTTTTGGGGGGGTAGAGTGAAACTAATACCTCCCTTTTTCTTGATACTGTGCTTCATACCATTGCTTCACCTTAAGTTTTAAGAAGAAACCTATTGAAACCTAATTCACAGCACAATTTTTTCCATTGAAACTCCAGAATTCAATTGTTTTACTACATTCAGGGTTGTGCAACCATCACCACAATATTTCATCACTCCAAGTGCACATTAAGCTATTTCACATTGGTAGCCTTTGACTCTACTCCATCCCATACTTTAGTAATTTATTTTATGTTATTCTTGGTTTTGTTTGTTTGAGTGAACGTGTCTTAAATATTATTGGATTATGTGCCTACTTGAGGTCTTTTCTTTTAGGTATTTAGTTCTTAACTTTGTAAATTTGTTCTTCTATCTAGTTTCTGTTCTGTATGTTTTTTACTTTAGGTGACAGGAACTCTCTGCCTGGTTTCACTTGTTTTCGAATGCTCTTTATATTGTTAGTGCTTTTATACCAGGAAGTTGATGATATTAGGAAAATTGTGACAGTTGGTTTCTCAAGGTATGTAAAAATTTTGAGAACCCAACATCTGTTGTAGGATTAAAATAAAATGCACATATTTGGGTCTCAGACGTGATGTGTATCAGTGAAGGTTATTTACTTTTTACTTCTCTGCTGTTCTGAATGCGTAATCCTTTTTTTATTGTATATTTGCTCTAATACCTTTCCACCTTCTGTATCATCTTATTTCTCAAATAAATGTATATCCTCATATCATTCATATGCTCCTGTGTATTCACTTACTTTATTTACCCTATAAATAAGCTCACATTTTTATATATATACATAAAGCTACAGTCTTAAGCAACTATCCTAGCTCTCTCTTTCCCTTCAACATAAATTTTTTGAGAGATGACTAGGCCTGTTGCCTCCAGATTTCAGTTATTTTCTGAACTAACTCATATGTCAGGAAGGGTTATTGGGGATGAATGACACAAACAGTTGACATCATTAAAAATTCACAGCTCTTATTTTCTGAGATATTTAATGCTATTCATCAACCTTCTTACCTTTGATCAGCTTCCTTGCTATCACTAACCCGTCAACTACATAACTTCCACTCTTATCATTTATCTCTTCCTATCTTGACAAATACCATCTTAACAGATATTTTAAAAAGCCACATTATCAAATGGAAACATTCTCAACTTCTCTTATAGTCTGCCTCCCCCCCCCCCAACCTCCAGATCTTTAATTTATCAAGGTAAATTCAACTTGTGTCTTTGTTGTGATCCTTTCCCACCCCTTCCATGTCTTTTGTCACTGTCTTCTCTGGAATCTTTAAATCAGTTCTCTTTCCATAGATCATGCCTGATTAAACCCTGACTTCATCTTTCTCTCTATATTTCACCTTGCTTTTTCATTCACACAGCTATAGACTCTTTTCAGAAAAAAAAGATATTGGATGTACTAAAGGTTTGTGTATAGTTTGTGCTTTACGTATTTTCTAAGGTACTCCTATAAAACCCAGGTTTAGGACTATGAGAGAAATCAGTATGCTACAAGGTCCTTAAAATCTAACTTTTTCTAATTTACCTGTTTCTATTTATTTGGTGCAGTATTTATTATACATTATGGATACTTAATAAGTATTTAAGGAATGAACAGATTTACCAGATTGATTTAAAGTATACATGTACATTTGAAGGTTAGTATAAGCCAAGATTTACTCCTGCAAATTTTACTGTCAGTTATACATGCCTAACAGTTAATCAGTTATTATCTTCAGTCTCAGTTCACTGGCGTTGGGTCCAACACTAACAGGTTTCTACTAGAATCTGGTTGGTGTTAGACCCCACTGTGACCTGTAAGCACAATGTAGTAGACAGTAAACACTAATTCCCCTTTCACTATCTCATTATAACAGGTGAGAAGAAACTTGGTACCGTTATCACTCCAGATACATGGAAAGACGGTGCAAGGAATACCACAGGTATCTTTCCTTTTAGAAAACAGAATTAGATACTTTCTGTGAATAATGTGTTAACCTTAATCTTATTTTTAAAATGAAATATTACAATAAGAAATATTACAAATAGAAAGTATTCTATTGAATATTTTAAAAATACTGGTTCTCTCAGTACTTTAATATTTCCTGTTTAATTACTTCAGTTACTCATTTGGTAGACAAGTTATAGAAAAATAAATGATTTGCAAGCATGGAGTATATCATAGCAATTGAATTGATTCAGCTTAATTACAGGCTATTTAATTCCCTTCTCCCTTTTTCATTTGATCTTTATATTCTTGAGGAAATCATTTAAATTATTTCACCCTTGTGCTTGTAAAATAGTCATGTAGTTTTCAAAGAAATGGAAAAGAAACACTGCCATTCTATTTGAGGCCTATAATATCCAAGTAGTAGCTTTTAGATTTTATAGTGGATGTAGTATGGATCATTCTGAGAAATAAAATGGTTGCCCCTTATACAGTTTTTTATTTTCCTAACAATAATTTTTTAAGCACTATCTTAACCTGGGTATTAAATATTTTGAATATTTTCATATAGGCCTTCCTATTGGTAAGAGGTCAAAAAACGAACTTTGAATTGTTTAATGTTATATGTGTATACATTAAATAAGTCACTGAAATACATATATATTTTAATATAGAAAGCGGTGGAAGAAAACTGAATGAAAATAAAGCTTTGACTTCCAAAAAAGCAAGGTAAGTATAGGAGCATTCACTGAGTAGAGTTATAGATTTCCACTCTTTTTTAAATATTCAGGCTACTGAGTGAATTTGGTGTGTTTTATTCTACTGTGATAAAATAGTCAGGTGGTTCCTAGCATGCAAACTAAGCTACTTTTTGTGACCTGCTGTTTTCATCCTATTTCTCCTCCCTGTATCACCTGATCTGAAGATATGCATGGCAATTTGTTCCTGTAATTAAACAAGAAAATATTTCTTCTAGTTCTTAATTATCCTATCAATCAGAGGCAGTGGAGAAAAGTAGAAAAATGATAAGCTCTGGAGTTGGATCTGAATTTGATTCTAAATTTGTTCCTGTCGAGCTATGTAACCTCAAGCAGGTTAAGCCAGTTTGTTGACTTTTCTGAAGTTTACTTTTTCATCTGAGAATAGGAATAAAAATATCTGCCACCTTAAAAACATTTGACATGATGCTTTACTCTATTCAGTCTTAAAAATTCCATATGCTCGTCCATGTCACATTTCCTTCTCTTCACAACAAAAGTTTCAAAAGACTTCCCTAGATAATTCCTCAGTGTCCTTCAGCTCTATTTACTTTTGCAGCCACTGCAGCTCTCATTTTTCCAGCCCTTTATTCTCCAGTGCTGGGTCCCCAACTCTCCTTACAGCTTACTAACTGTTCCTGCTCAACTAAGTTCACCTCTAGACTCAATCATAGGCTATTTTTTTCTGTTGATAAATTTGTAATCTTTCCTCTAATAACTCTAATCCAGTGGGTTTAAATTCAAATTGTATGTGAATGCCAGTGTGTATCTCCAGTCCTGCCTTCTCTGAGTTCAGTTGGCCATTTTGCTATTGAACTTGCCCAGCTTACTATCTAACAGTCACCCTTTTCCTTCAGTCTTTTAATCCTAGTTTCCTCATCTTTGCTCACTTTCCAGGACAGTTGTTCAAGCATAAAAGCTAGAATTCCTTACTGATGCCTCACTGATTCCCTTGCTTTCCAAATCCATCAGCAACATCTTCAGTACTCCTACCAAAATACATCTTGAATCCACCTGTTTCTCTACATCTCACTGTTTTTACCTGGTTCTAAAGCCTGTTATTTTCCCCTGGATGTTGTATTACTTTCTATCTTCTTGCTCCCTCCCTAGTTCCCTGCAGTTCAGTGTCACAGTGACCAGAGTCACCCTTTGCTCAAAACCCTTTGCTAGTGTCCTTTTTCATGTCAAATAAAACATAATTTGATTGTTTTATACCGTTTTATTTTCTTTAAAATATCTCTAGATTTGATCCATATGGAAAGAATAAGTTCTCCACTTGCAGAATTTGTAAAAGTTCTGTGCACCAACCAGGTTCTCATTACTGCCAGGGCTGTGCCTACAAAAAGGGTAAGTTTAATACCACTTTCCTGTTTCTATCAGTTGACTTCACTTAGTACTGATTTGGGTAACAGAAAAGGATTAAACTTTTGTAAGTTAAATGCTCTTTTTTCTGTAGGCAAAATAAAATTTAGAACTATTCTTAGTTAAAAGTCTATGTTTTCTGTTTCTTTTTTCTGATGCTGCTAAATTATGTTTTAATCTTCCAGCGGCACTAAATTAAACCAAATCATAGGTATTTGATTGGTAATATTAGTTGGTATTATGATTTAGTTGTTTACATTTCTTTTGTTTTAGGTATATGTGCCATGTGTGGAAAAAAGGTTTTGGATACCAAAAACTACAAGCAAACCTCTGTCTAGTTGTATGGATGAAGTTTCTGACTTTCTGTATGATTTACTTTCTGCTTTGAACTTTTCAAGAATAACAGATGTTAAAGTTATAAAATAACATACTTTAAGACAGTTAAGTTTAAACCAAGGAAGTTGATTGATATTTATTCTTTTTTGCTCTCATCAAGTTCTGAATCATATATAACCAGTAGAACTAGTCTTTTGCTTTAACTTGTTATTTTCCTTAGAAGCATTTTATAGGCTGAAAGACATGGCAAATTTAATGAAAAAATTTTTTCTCAGTTCTGTGTATGCTTTTTAATTAATATTACTCATGTAATTCTTATCCCCTACCTCTATTTAAAGATAGTACAGAAGTGAGGTTATTGATACTTTACTCAGAACCTGGCATCCAGATTTCAATTCTCCCTTATTCCCTTGTTGATTATGTTGTTCTTAGAATCACCTCTTCACTATTACTTGCAGTTTCCAGGGTATTTAAATATCTGAGGCTCTTTTTCTTTATGGTTCTTTAGTAATTAGCCCAAATTAAACACATGTTGTATTTGTATTTTATGATTTTTAAATTTGTTCTTGAAGCTGAAGTGCAAATACTTTTCTTACTGCTATTCACAATAAGAACACAAGGGACACCCCACATATCCACATATGTCCAAATGAATACACTGGACTTCAAAAAAAAACACTATACACATTACCTTAAATTCAAACTGTCGTGAAAATCAGAGAAACAGTGTTCATCTGTGATGCATTGTCCCTCTTTGAAGCAAAAACTGAGCTTTTTTATTTACCCCCTCCTGTCCCTTTCTCTATCCCAAAAGAAATAAATAGAACAAAAGCAAACATTTTGACTCATTTATAAAACATATATATATATATATATATATACACACACACACACACACACATATATATGTCTCTGCTAAGAGGGTTCAAACAAAAATTTTGCTTATGTTTTGTTTATGCTTATGCTGCTTTCAGAGACTCAGGACTTCTGCTTTTGAAATCTGCAGCCTACTAGGGAAGACCAAATATGTACCTATATTGTCAAGTACAGTATGTATAAATACGTATCACTATAAAATGTGTAGAATAGATACATGATATATTGTGTTTTATATTCATTTAAAAATTACTATGGAAAGTAGTGTTTTACCTATTTTATTTGTAACATTTTGTTAAGTGTTTTTCTAAGATATGTTGTTATTCAAGAAAGATCGCAGAGATAATGCAAAATATAAGAAATAGAAATAGTCCTGAGGTTAGGAAGTACCTTCTCAGGCTTTAATGAAATTGGGACTTTTTAATTAAAATCAGTAGCTCTTGTTAGAGCATGGCCCAGATTCATTAATAGTTGGTTGGTACAACTTTTGGTACTACATTTCTTAGGTATCAAACTCATATTTCATGTTCATACCTTGGATAGCCTCCTTCCAGAAATGATCCTGTGTCCAGACTCAAGTTCTGCTATAAAGTTTTTGTTAGTATTCAATCACAGAACAGAATATGCAGAATATCTTCAAAGTTTATTGGTTATTAAGGTTATTGTTGAAATACTAATATGCCTGCCATAAATTGAAGTTAATAGATAAGAAGGAAAGTCTTAAAACATGAATATAATTATTTAAAAAAAAAGGCATAAAAACAGAAACCGTAATTTTAGGATGACAAAATTAAGGCCAAATACAGATTTTGTCAAAGTAAACATAAAAGTGATGAAAGGACATATGTTTCAAAAATCAGACTATATTTATATATGAAACTAATATTAGTAGAATACATTGTGTATATTCATTTGTTAGGATATGTAGCTATCAAAATGATATAAGTATGAAATATATGTGCAAAAGTTTAAACATACAGAAAACATCTGAAAGCTACTAGAACTGTTTTTTTCCCTGGGGATTGGAACTGAAAATTGAAAAAAGAGACTTAACCCTTACAGCTTTAGTGCCAACAACCTAATATTTCTTAACTCCTGCTTCCCTACCCTGGGGAAATAGATGAATATCTTTTGTACCCTAGAAATACATGTGTCTGCAAATATATCTATAAATGTGTTTTGAGGATTTAAGTAGAAGTATACATTGTTGTATGCTGTCCTTTTTTAATGTTTCTCATTTGCTTTACCATTTTCTATCTCTTATAATATATTTTTTCCTTGATATACCTTTTATCCCTTCATTAAAATGTAGTCAGGAGATAAGCATAATAAGCATTATCAAATTCAAAAACTTATATTGATGTGGCTACTTTAATCTGTATTCCCTATTTCAGTTTCTTTTCCCCTCTTTTTATTATTTTTGAAGTAATACTGGATTATAACATTATATAGTGTTCATCATTATAAATCACCTCTCTGTATATATAATACATTATATTCACCACTCCTGCTCTAATTTCATCAGTTCCATTGATAATTTTTTCAGCTACAGGATCTAATGTATGACTCTTTAATTAGGAAAAGTCCTTTAATCTTTGTCATTTATAATAGTAGTATATCTGAACAATACAGGGATACAGGCATTCTACAGTTAAAATATAGAATACCCCTAACTCAGGGTTGTTCAAGTGTGTCCTTGTAGTTAAATTGGAGCTTAAATACTGTGAGTGATGTGTCCTTCCATTGTCACATCCAGACTCACGAAATGTCCCTTTGCCCACTTGTAGGAGTGGTAATTTTAACCACTTGGATTAAGATGTCATCCAGTTTTTCCGCTGTAAAGTGACCATTTTTTCTTTCGCTATTAGTGGATAATTTGTGAGGAGGAACTTTGAGTACATGTTGATCTTGTATTCCTCATCAAACCTGCCCCTCCTAGATTTAGCATCATTTGATGATTATTGTCTGAATAAATTTTCACTAAGCTATTTATAAATTGTGATATTCTAGTTCTGTTGTTCTTTCTGTAACTCACTTATTAGTTGTCATTTTGCTCTAAGAAGTTTCCCTTTATTAGTAACATAACATATGTGCTTTTTTTCTGATCATTTGAGTGTTGATGATGCCTTTTTACCCCAAATATGTCTAATATGTCTATTTCCCATTTTCTTACATAATCATAGTACAGTTATCTAAAATCAGAAAGTGAACACTGACACAATATACTGTCCAATTACTATCTAATTTTTTCTATATTTCACTAGTTGTTCTAGTAACGGCCTTTGAAAAGGGGAAAAAAGAAAGGACTAGGTCAGGGTAACACATAATAGTTATTATGACTTTAGTCTCTTTATCTAGTCTCTTTATCTTCAATCTGTCATTCAAAAATATCAAGGTAATGAAACACAAAGGTCAGTTATTTTATAAAATGTTCCTTAATTTCAATTTTTCTGCTGTTCATGATTAAATTGAGCGCAGTATTTTGAGCAGGACTCTCAGAAGTGATGCTGGGTCTTTGTGAGTTCTCCACTGCCTGGTGTTGTTAGTTGTCCCGTTAGAAGAAGGTTAATTTTGATTTCATTTTAGGTAGTTTCTGCTGAATTTCTCCACTGTATAGATTCTATTTGTTTCTTTTAAATTAGTAAGAATTATGTGGGGTGTACTTTTGAGACTGTAAGTATTCTGCTCAACAAATATTCACACACTGTACTAAATGAATTCTTGCACAAGTAAGGTATGGTGACAGAAATAAGAAAAACATTTAAACAGTCTGGTTTGAAAGCAACAATTAATTCTAGAAGGGAAAAGCTAGGAGTTAGATTTAAATGGCAGTAGGAGAATGGGAATGAAGGCACAGATTTCTGAAAGGCCCAATAAAATAAGATTTGACAGAATAAATGAGGGGAGAGTGAGAAGGTGAGTCACGTGGGTCTCATTTACATGTGGTAATGGTAAGATTTCCCACCAGATGGCAATGTTGTTCTTTCTTAGTTGTTCATTTTCTACCATGCTAAAGGATTTGTAGCTATAGCTTAAAGATTAAATAGATGGATTTACATTTCCAAAATTGTGAACAAGTTAGCCAGAGAAACTTAGCATGCAACAATAAAAATCCTAGAAAATATTTATGTACATAATATACATCTACATATACATTTGTGATATATGAATGTGATCAAACTAAAAGAAAGTAATGATCTCGGAGGCACAATACAGAAAAGGTGCTAACTCAAAGGGTAAAGTAGTATCAAATACAGTGCTTGTCAGAAAGAATATCTGCTAACCCCTCAGGATCTAAAACCTACTTTGTAAAGGCCATCACATGCATGACAGGGGAGCTTCTGGACTTGAGCAGTAAGGGGAGGTTAGAGCAGAGATCTGTGCCTAATGCATGAAACCCTGCAAAGCAGTAGTTTCGGTGGGTCTCATGTGCATAGAGAGAGACTGGATATTTCTGTACATTAGCCTTAGACCTGGATGTGACCAATGAAGATTTATCTCAAGGATGCAAGATTATCCAATATTAGAAAAATCTATTAAGTTGAAACTCACATTAACAAACTCATGAAAGAATGCTCTGTGACCACCTTAAAATATAAAATTCAAACCAGTTACCTGGAAAATTCTTAGTAAATTAGAATAGAAATCTTAAACCTAATAAGAAGTAACAACAGCAACAACAACAACAAAAACCACAACAAATAGATCTAGTATTAAATACATTGCCTTTAAAATCAATAACAACTTAAGGATGCAATTATCACTTCTATTCAGCATTCTACTGAAGTTCCTAGTCCATGCAGTAAAACAAGACAAAAGGGGGAAAAAGATACAGAGGTAAGAAGGAAGAAGCAATACCATCATAATTTGCAGTATTCAAGTATTTTGCAGATACCAAAACCAGCTAATTATTAAGATGAATAAATTTAGTTTATCAACTTTTTACAAAAGAGATAACTATACAAAAGCAAAATGCTTTTCTTCCAGCAAAACCAGAAAAAATTTAAAATAGGTCATATATAAGAACAACCAAACTAGAAAAATAACTAATATAAGTTATCTATACAGAAAGTCTAAAGGTTTTCTTGAATAAGATAGAACTCATCAAACTGATTTGTAAAATTTATATGGGAGAGCAAAGAACCACAGATACTTTTAAGGAACAAATTGGAGAAACTTGCTGTACCAAATATTAAAATTTATTATTAAATGGAAGTATTAAGACTTCATGGAACCTAATAAAAACAGGGAATAAATGAATATATAAAAAGGTAATACATGTTACAGGTCACATTGTAAATCACAGGGAAGCTCTTTAGTAAATTCAAACTGCATCCCTAAACACAAGACTTAGCTCTAGGTGTAAGATGTGGCGGGCAGTCTTTAAGCTTCAGAAAAGTTTCCAAAGGTAGATAAATTTGGTACGATTGTCTACAACAGTAAGAAGTAGAAGTCATGGATTGTTTTTTCACATTTGCCTCTTCCTACAGCCTGTTTCCTCAAAGTTGCTTTTTTTCTGCTTGTTTAAATCTTTTCCTTCCTTGTTTGAACTTCTCGACTGTCTGGCCATTTTTTGTTTTCTTCTCACTGAGTAGAGTGGAGAGATTTCAGTGTTTGGAAACTGTTGGTAGGCCTGTTACATGAATTGTATCTGCAACAGAATTTATCAATGGTGACACCAGTGATATATTGAACTCTTCATTGTGTGAGGGACTTTATTATGCACTGTAAGACTATTTATCAGCATCCCTGGCCTCTGCCCCCTAGATACCAATAGCACTGATCTCTCCCCAAGTTTGTGACAACCAAAAATGACCCCAGACATTGCCATATGCCCTCAGTTGGGAATCATTGATGTAGTATGATATCTTTGAGTTGTTTGTGGGGGGACCCTTGAAATTAGTATCTTTAAATCTTTCCTCATAAAATGGTCAAGAAACCATCTGCTTGCCAGTTGCTGGAGCCTAAACCTCTAGCAGTTTGCTAGAATGTGGGAGGGGTGATCAATCAGTGGTGTGGCGTGAAGGGAGGAGAGAAGTCTAGGAATCCATTTGGTCCTCAAACAGCTTTCATTTAGCCAGTTCTGGAATGTATATTGAATTTGTTTTCATCTTAACATCAGTTTACAGTTTGGTGTTTCACATCAGCTAAGTTCATTTCCATTTATGTCTACTTTCTCACCTCCAAAGTTTGGTACCTTTGATCTCCTCTTTCACTTTCTTTGTCTTTAGACTTAATGCCTCCCTCCCCACCCCATACTGTTAATGTAGTTTTGTGTGGGGAAGTTAAGAAGGATAAAAATTTGAATGTGTTTCATTTTGCTGTCTTCATTGGGAAGCTTCAGTTCCATGTACATTTGATGTTTCATGCTTCTATTGACTCTTACATTGTAATGTGTGTTTTTAAGGTGGAAGGGGACAGATACAGTCTTCATTTCATTTCCAACCCTTTCTTGTAATTTCGAGTGTAGATAATATTATAATTAGATTTTGACACAAGGAGGAGATAGTCTTAATTAGTAGGAAAAGTGATGGAACAGAAATAAGCAAAGACATGGAAGTAAGAATAGTGAGACGTTGACAAGTTTGCTGGCCATTGTGTCAGTAGACCCTTAGCACATTGCTCCACAGTGATTGGTCTGCTGTGGGTCTCCAAAGAACTCATGATTTTTCCAAAAGAACTCATGGCTTTTCTACGTGTATGCAGTCGTTCAAGATCGGGGTTAGTAAACTGGCCCATAGACCAGTCACCTACATGTTATTGAAACACCAGCCATAGTGCTTCATTAACAGACAATCTAAGGTTGCTTTTGTATACAGTGGCAGAGTAGAAAAAGATTGCTGACTTCTGCTCTAGATAGCCCTAGAAATGATCAGGATTTCTGGAAAAACCTTGAATTGATGTAAAAGATTAGTTACAGCACAGTAGTGATGCAATGGTTTTCCTGAGTGTTTTCATTGTTTAAGTCCTTAATCTCTTTATGGATTAAAGTCCAGGTGTCACTGAGACATCTCTTAAGATTGTCTTACTGGCATAAGCTAAAGCAGATACCATTCTACATTCATGTATTGAACTATTAGGTGATATAATACAGATGTCTAGAACTAAGTCTATTCTGTTTATTTACTCAAGAGTTATATTTCTTGCTTCAGGGTTATATTTTCTTGCTACATTCATTTAGCAATAACAGTATGTCATTCTAGTGTGATCTGGAATGTTGGGACCTTTCTCCAAATGCATCCCTTTGATTTGTTTCCGTGACTAGAGTTGGCCCTTAGGTGACACAGTTGCTGTTGCCTCAAACAGGATATTAATTTTTACTCTTACAACTGCAAAAACTTGTGGGCCAAAGAACCACCTACCTTCTTACACTCCCTTTCTTTTATAAAATGAATGCTGACCTGGTATCTCTGTGGGTCATTTGCAGCAAGCCTGTTTTTTCAAGAAACCCAGCCCATACTCAGTTGGGCATACTTAGCCACACAGCCCATTTGGCACAAAGGAGCTGTAGCCCATGGGGTCAGTACAGATACATCACTGCCGAAGCTCTGATTCATCACTCTTGTGCCCTCTATGCCCCTAGGTTTTCCCAACAAACTCTTCTTTGCCTGAAAAACAGGATCTCTTACATCAGCTGCCACCCTTGTTCCAAGAAGCAAGAGGGAGACAGTGAAGTGTGCCTTGTGAGTCACCCTGCACCCCTGTGAGTCACGCTGCACCTCTGTGTTCCTCCCTGAGGCTCCTGATTCAAACAGTACAAATTGAGAACGAGAAATATAAACTTCTCACCTAGGCATGCAGCAGCTAGCACTTTTGCATGAGAACAGTACATGTTTGTAATTGCCAAATTTGAAATGTACAGTCATTGTTGCAACTAAAATTCAGGGCTATTTCACGGTCAGATCTCTTGCTCCCAGCACTCTCACACTTCAGTGTCCGTGGGCTGTTCTGTCAGAGCTCACCCGGCCTCCAGAGCCCTGGTGCTCTTTCTCTCAAGT